CCACTCTGAGGGTTTGATGAGCCTGGGCCCCTTTATAAAGGAGCTGAGACTGGCCTTTGTCCTCTGCTCTGAGCCTGCCTGTTGGCGTGACTGTGCTGCCAGAGGGTGCAGGGAGGGGACGGCGAAGGTCAGTGCAGGGGTGGCACAGAACTCCTGACCCTGCTGCCCTCTGCACGTGCTTACCCTGGGTGGGCGTGGGGGGCAGACAATATGTCCCCACCCCCAGCTTGACTCCCAGCATTGTGCAGGCTCCCAGGGAGAACCCGGGGTCTTTGGACTTGATCCTGCCACCCACCTTTCACCTTAGCCTCACCCTCCCTAATGGGGTCACAGCCTCGTCCGGAGAACACATCCTCACCTCCCCGTATCTCACCTGCCTCCTCCCCAGTGACCTTCAACTCTGAGGTTTGTCACTGGCATTTGCTGTAGGGAGGTCACGTGATCAGAGGGACCTTGGGTGGGGGCGAGGGATGAAGTTCTCCGTGTCCCTCACTTCACACTGTGACACTCAATATACACACAGACACTGATCACACACTCACAAACCACTCACACAATCAGATGTTACCCACACACATACTGACACATAGGACCTGCACAAACAGTTACACACCCACAAAATCACAGACACACACACATTGATACTTGCACCACTGACACACACACATACACACACACACAGAGCACCTGTTCTCATTGGTGGTCTGTACCCGACCCCCACCCTCCCCACCTCAAGGCAGCTGGCAGGGATGCTGAGGACCCTCAGCTGGCTGCGGGCTGGCTCAGCTTCCGCTGTTTCCCCGTGGTTGTGAGCATCGCATGACTGACTCTGGGGGTGGGGAGGCAGCAGCATTGTTTTCTGAGCTCCCTACTCACCCAAGCAGCCAGTTCAGAGGACAGGAGACCCTTCCTAAGTGGATTACAAACTGGTCCTTGACCTCCCAGCTCCTGAGGCCACCCAGGTGATGAATCTCCTCGAGCCTGTGTCCACTTTCCTGACTCAGAGAAATGCGGGGTGATCCCTTGCTCTTCTTGACTGAGCTGCCAGGAAGCTCAGCGTACCAGGGTGTCCTAGCATAGGATGTCACCCTGTCCCCAGAGGAGTGGGCCTGCTTCTTCCTCAGTATAGTTTGTCCTTGAACATCAGCTGCTGAAACTCTTTCTGGAAAGACAAGGGGATAGAAACAAGTGGGGCGGATGTAATTTCTTTACACCCTCACAGGCCTGCTGAGGACCACACGGAATGGATTCCAGGGCCTCCCCTTAGCCAGCCACCTCCCTCTCCCTGGGCCACGTCCTTTCTCTTCCAGCCCCGTCCCTTCCCACTCTGGCTCTGTGGTCCCTCAAGGAAAGATGCGAACCCCAGCACCACCCTGCCCCTTTGTGTGCCACCTCGTGGCTGGAACTGTGGCTCCCAGCCCTCCCTATTGCTCATCCTCTCGCCCCCTCCAAGCAGGGGTGTGACCACATGATGCCAGGGCAGGGCTGCTGCCCACCGGCCTCTGTACCCTCCTTCATCAACAGGAAGAGGGGTGGGATTTGAGGCTGAGTTTTTAATTCAGTGAAGCTGATGGGAACTCTGAAGCCAAAACCCACTCAGATGGGAAGGGGCAGGAGCCCAGAGGGTAGGGGAGGGGCATTTCCTGGGAGGGGTCAGGCCCCCTCCCCCATCCCAGGGGTAGTGAGTTCTCATCCTGGAACCAGCTGGAGAATTCTCTCCCCCAGATGGAGCAGGGCCTGCAGGAGGCACTGCTCACGCCTGTGTCCCATTAGTTCCCTCCCTCCCTCACCCCTAACAGCTTCTTCCCAGGGAGCCTCTGGACATCCCCCACACAGAGATGGCTCCCCGGGGGGCAGGGGCCTCTTGCTATTGGCTTTCGACCTTTACAGTTCCTGCTTGGCCTGTGAAAGCTGCTCCTCCCCTTCTGAATGCCCGCAGCCCCACTCTCCTGCAGGGCCCAGGGCCAGAGGGTGTAGCCTGCTGGGGCCCAGCGGGCCTTCCTCAGTTTACCTGGCTTTCCCTGCATCTTGCCTTGCTCAGGCCTTGGACTGTGTTCCAGCTCCGCTGGACGTCCCACGTGCTGGGTGCTGTCGGGGCACTCACAGCCTGGCGGGTAGACGATGGCGGGTCCCTGCTCCAAGGTGCTCATGCCAAGAGGAGGAGCAGGAAGGCAGAGAGCTGACAGGCCAGGCCAGCAGTGTGGGGACTGCTCTGAGGGTCATGGGGACACTGCCCCAGGCTGCAGCAGGACTCTCTGGGAAGCCTACCTGGAGGACTTTGACTGACTTGGCACCACAGTTGAAGGTGACCTGGCAGTGGGACCAAAGGGCCACAGCAGAGTCCTGTGCAGGGGGTGAGGGGCAGCGGGAGGAGGCAGCTTTGCAAGTCTGGCTGAGGACTGGACTGTGGGGAGCTGGGTCCCTGGGCCTCCAGGAGGCAGGGAGATCATTTTTGACATCAAAACAGACCAGAAGGAAGACCCATGGGCACTGTGGGGCCTTCCTGGATTCAGCCTGTGGCCTCTCATTGGCCTCAGTTGAGTGTCCTGTCCTGTGGGCAGCACCTTTCTACCCAGGACTGTCAGAGAATCAGGTGGTGCTAGCGGGGGAGAGGGGGAGGCAGGATGGTCTGAGTGTTGGTCACACAGTGGCTCTGGATAAAGTGTCTTTATCTACCCTTTGTTTTGGATGTGTCACGCCCTCCCAAGCAGTCACCCTAATGTGGACATGAAGGGCAGGGACCGACATGCCTGTAATTCAGGCAGTGCCCCCCGACACTAGAGGCCTGTGGTCCAGGACGCCGCAGCCTTGAGGAAACCTCATGAGTACAATGAGCACACAGTACTACCGTGAGGGTGATGGCCTTTGCAATCATTGTGCAATTGCAGCTCCCATTGATCAGGCACTTGTGTGCCAGGCACTGCTGCTCACTCTGCGTGTCCCCCCACAGCCCTGGAAGGCAGGTGGCTTTATGGTCCCCAAGGCATGGAGGAGACTGGGTCTCAGGGGTCACGTCAGGAGGTCAAAGTCACAGAGGAGTAGTTGGGCCATTTCAAAACGCAGGCTCTGAGCTACTGCTGTCCGTGTAAGTTACTGAGATTTATGTCTCAGAAACACACTCAGCCCGCCCTCCCGGGGCTTGTGCCCTGGTGAAGCTGCTGGGGTGGAGGGGTGAGCGCCCCCAGGGACCACCCGTGTCACAGATGTTCACCCGTGCCCGGAAGGGTCCTCTGGACACTGCGACCTGGGACATAGAATCCAGGGGAGACGTCAGCACGCTGGGGAACTACGAATAGCCTGGCCCTGTTCCCCGAAGCACGGAACCGTGGCCCTGGGTCTCCAACACGATGCAGGGAAAACCCCGGGCGAGCGCCCTAGAATCAGGTAGGGAGCTGCAGCCCAGCCCGGGCGCTGGTAAACTTGGTGGCATTTTGCTCGCCATGCCCCTCCCCCAGAGGCATGGAGCGCCCTGGGGAAACCCCCATTCCCGCTCCTCCTTGGGGACCGAGAGGAAGAGCGGAAGCCGAGCGCAGCTTGCGGGCCCCGGGCCTGGCCGCCCCGCCTGGCTCCGTGCGGACCCGCCCTCGCAGCGCAGGATCCAGGCGGAGGCGCCGGCGGGGCGGCCGCGGCTGCAGTTCCGCAGGCGGGCGCCGGGGGGCGCCGGGGGCCGCGGCCGAGGAGGGAACGGGGGCGGGAGGGCGCTGGGCGGGGCCCGCCTCCCCGAGCTGCTTAATGGGTCCCGGGCTCGGGCTTGGCGGGATGAAAAGGTTCTGGAGACCCGCCGCGCAACAATGTGAACCTACTGGACGCTACTGAACTGTCCACTTACTGGGTAACATGCTAAATTTTATATGTTTTTAACCAGGATTTTAAAGTTATTTAAAAAAATACATCTCCTCTACACCCCTGTTAGAATGGTCAAAATCCAGCACACTGAGAACACCGAGAGCTGAGCAGGACGTGGAGCAACAGGAAGTCTCATACACCGCCTGTGAGAACGCAAACCCGCACAGCCCTCTGGAGTTGGTTTGGCGGTTCCTTACAAACTCGACGCTGTCACCACGTGACCGAGCAACCAGGCTCCTTGATGTTCACTCAAAGGAGCTCAGAACTTATGTCCACAGAAAACCTGCACAGGGATGTTGACAGCAGCTGTGCTCATAATCGCCAGACCTCGGAAGCAACTAAGACGCCTTTCAGGAGGTGAATGGATAAACTGTGGCACATCCCGACAATGGACGATTCTTCAGGGTCCAAAAGAAATGAGACATCAATCCATGAAAATGCGTGGATGAAGTTTAAATTCCTATCACCAGGTGACAGGAGGCAATCTGGAAAGGCTACATACTGTATGATTCCACCTATATGACCTTCTAGAAAAGGCAGAACTATGGAGACAGAAAACAGATCAGAAGTTGCCTTGGGCTGGGGGAAGGAACAGGCGGAACATAGCTGATGTTTAGACAGTGAAACTTCTCTGTAGGATCCTATATTGGTGGAAATATGTCTGTATACATTTGTCCAAACTCATAGAATGTACAACAGCAAGAGTGAGCCCCAGTGTAAGCTATGGACTCTGGGTGATAATGATGTGGGAATGTGGGTTCCTGCGTGCCCTCTACACCTGCTCAAAGTGTTTCCCCTCTTTGCGTCAGACCCACCCCTACCAACCTCCCAAATGCCCTGACCTACCCTGCCTCCAGGTCCACACAATGACCCCCCTTCCTGCTGTGGACTGGTCCCATCCCTGTGCCCTGTCACTGCTCACATGGTTCCACCCACGTTGGGTACAGGACGGATCCTCACTGGCACCCACACTCCTCCTGCCCCAGCCTTGGTACAGACTCCTTCCTCTATGCCTTGTGCCCACTATTCGCTAGCCATTCTCCCTGCCTCACAGTTGACACCCGCGCAGGTTAGGCCAGGTAGCATCTCAGGTCACTACGGGCCCAGCCCTGGCAAGAATGAGTCTGAGGAAGGCCTTGCTTTGGGTTCCGCCCTCAGCCCACGTGTGGGAACCAAAGAGCAGTGGGCAAGTCCTTGCTACCGTACGCTAGCATGGGCACAGCCACCAGCCCGTTGAGCACAACCACGGGCATCCAGGGCAGCTGCAGACTGAACACGTTCCCGAAGTGGCGTGGGAGCTGCAGGCCAAGGGTCCAGGGCATTGGTCAAGCCTGGCCCCCACCAGGCTGCCGGCCACAGTCTCCTGACGCTAGCACTGGGGGACTCCTCTGCCTCCAGAAGCGTGGGAGTGCAGTGACTGTAACTGCCCTTGTTTTCCTGCGGGTCACATCTTCTGCGGTCAGAGGACCTCACATTGGGTCAGACCACCCAGCTATAACTTTGCAAGTTACCAAAAGTGTCAGTGGGCCAAGTTAGCCTCCCATTTTACAGATCAAGAAACTGAGGTTCAGAGAGGTGAGCAGTGAGGCCCAAGGTCTCACAGCAGCAAAAGATTTGAACCTGGTCACTGCCCCCTCTCAACCTCGATTTTCTGATTTCAGTGGGGCTCATGCCCAGCCTCCTATCCCCCAATGTCAGGCCCTTTCCTCCTGATGTCCTCAGAAGGGACTCAGGCTCACAGAACTTAAGCTCTGTCCCACTGCATCCCAAACCCTCTGCCAAGGCCCACCCCCTCCAGGCCTTTGCCCTCTCTGACCTTTGATAGGAAATTCAAACTGTCCCCCAGGCCCTGCCCAGCTGCCCTCCCCCAGGAGGCCTCTCACACCTGCCTCCTCCTTTCCACCAGCTCCTTGTCCAGCCTGTGGCTTCACCACCACCCACTGTCAGCTTCTAGGTGGCATCCCCAGGACCCCTGTGCCCACCTCCCACCTTCCTCACCCAAGTAAAGCTGCGAAGCGAGTCCTGGAGGTCCACCTGCAGCAGGTTGCCCAGCCCAGGCAGGGGCATGGGGCCTGGGGGATAGCGTGGGGCCCAGCGTTGGCGCCGGTGCATCAGGTCCACCAGGAGCAGGAAGATGGCCACGGCCACAGCCAGGAGCCCCAGTGTCTCCCCGGTCAGCAGCCCCATACCTGCCTCAGTGCACACTGCGCTCCTCTGGACACACTGGGGCCCCTCACCACACCAGGCACCAGGACCAGGCCAGACAGGACACTGTCACCAACCCTGAGGGCTCGACCAGCCTGGGCCCTCTTTAAAAAGGGAGCTGACACCAGCCCTTGCGCACTGCCCTGAAGCAGCACATTGGGATGACTCTCCTGCCCCCAGTACACAGTTGTATATTCTAGTTGTGAGTGTCATTAAGTCTTGTGAGCATACTGAATTAGGTGACATGCAGTCTTCATCCAGCAATGCCAATGTGAGGGACAGTTTCCATCGACTGCCTTTCTCTTGTGTATGGGCCATATTTTCTTGTTCTGTTGCATGTCTTGTAGTTTCTTATTGAAAAATGGACATTTCAAATAAGATACTGTGGCAACTCCGGAAGCAGATTCTCAGTGCTCCTCAGGGTTTGTGTTGTCCTTGTGTCTTGTAGATGTTTCTTTGCTGAGTGACTTTTCTGAACTAATTCTATGAAGTCCCTAGTCCTTGTTGTATGTGGCCACTGAAGTCTCTACTCAATTAGCTTGCTGGTCAGCTAATGATGGGTTAGAGATTTCCTTAAATGTCTGGAGCCAATAACTCTCCCAGTCTTTGCTGCACAGAGGTGCTCCCTGTGTGTGTTGGGATGTAATTTCAACACTCAGCCGGGCACTGGATTAACAGTTTACAACTTTCCCTCTGCCTTTACTTCCTGTTTGCACAGAACCTCAAGGTCAGTCAGAGGGGAGAGCTAGGGGCCCCATGAGGTCTTTCCTGAGCCTGCACACAGTCGCACATGTGCATGGCCTCTTAGATCCCAGGAATGTGACAGAGCTCTTCATAGCCCCTGTGGACACCGCACAATCCAGCTTCTCCTTGTAAACTTTGTGGTCAGTGTATCATTTGCTCCAACTGTTAACCTTTGCCTCAGGCAGCGTGCATTTTCAACAGTGGCCTCTGATTACTTCCAACAAACTCTCCTGAGGAAAAGGCTGCTTGCCCTAGGGCAGCTCTCAGGGCAAATGCAGACATGCCAGCATGTGAGGTCCACCAGGGAACCTCCCAGCCAGCTAAAATAATGACAATTCTTTGGGAATGAGGCTTTGAAAATGCGGGATGCCCTGTGCTCCCTCAGGAGGCCTCCCCGGGAGTGTGGGTGGTTCTTTTCAGGGCCACTGCTGAGCTGGAAAGTGGTGGATAGGACCAGGGAAGTGGAAATGCCACAGAGATTGCTGTTCATTCTGAGATTCAGCCATTTGTCATCCAGAAAAAAAATGCTCCTGAGTAGTCACGAGCTTTTGGTTAATTTCCAGACTTCTGAAAAAGTGTTGGATCATTTTGCCAGTTTTTCATTGCTCTTCAGGAGTGGCCAATTTTCAGAGCTCTGCCATTTTTGCTGATATCACTGAACTCCTGAGGGGTGTTTATGAGACCTTCGATGTCTTAAAATGTCTCCACTCATACTGGAGTAACAGTCAGCTGGCTATAGTATTCTAGATGGGAAATAAATATCGTGTAGAATTTTAAAGACTTTTTTCATTGGCTTCTACCTCAAGGGTTGGTGTTGAGAAGACTGAGGCCTCTGGAATTCCTGAAACTGAGATGTCTGTATTCTTTACAACTCCACAAGTCTTTAGGTTCTTGTTATTGTCCTCCTGCAAAGGCAAGAGAGACCGCCCGCTCAAAGATTGATTTGGATGTTGACTGATCACACCAGGAGGGTATAAAGCTTTACTACTTGCATCATTGAGGCCTCAGGGCAGAGCAGGACCGGCCTGTCAGGCAGGACCAAAATGGCTTGAAAGAGCCAGAACAGGAGACTGGCCTGGATATTTAATGTGGTTTGGTGACAGGCTGCGGTGAGGCCTCACTTGTAGGGTAGTGGCTTGCTTGTATGGATCTCTAGTAGAAAGCAAAGGAGCGAGCACCAGGGGTGTTTTATCAACTGGTCCAGATGTGAGGGACAGGGGACGAAACAGAGGTGATGCTGAATGGTGTCAGAAGTCAAATATCAAAAAAAGGAATCACATCCCTCAGAGTGGAGAAGAAGCCAGACAGGCAGATGCCCTGACTTCCTGGATGAGCCTCCCCTGCCTCCTGCTTCCTTCCTGCTTGGCAAAAACTTGAGGCCACTTCCCTTGGACTGGGGGAATTCCTAGCCTTTTATCAATGCTGACCTGATCCCCTGCCATCAGGGACCCCTGGCCCTGGGGAAAGGTCCTCCCTGCAAGGGACCCACCGGGCCTGCCTGCTGTGCTTTTCAGAAGCCTGTGAGGTCGAGAGCTAGGAGGAAAGGCCCATGGGTAGGGTCCTCCAGCTTCTGAGGGAGGTGTAGCTGGGCTGGTTCCCAGCCTCTGACATCCCCAAGACTGAGAACCATGAATGACAAAGTATCAATAAATCCACAGAGTTGTTGCTTCTGCAGACTCATCTGCCTCCTCTCGGGGGCCTCATGTCTTCACAAACCCAGTGTGATCCCGTCCACACTCCCTGTCCTGACAAGCTGCAGAAACGCCTCCTGCTGCCACCAAGCCCTGACACAACAGTGGACACTCTGGAGAGGCTGAAGAGGCCCTGCTGGCTTTCTGACTCAGTGCCAAGGGACACATCAAGTTCCCTGAGAGCTGGGAGCTCCCTGTCATGAGGGCGCCTGGAAGACGCTGGTGGACCCCTGCCAGAAATGCTGTTGGGTGGGGTCCTCTGGCAACAGAGGCCTGGTGGGGCTGCTTCAGCCCTGTCGGTGGTCCCCAAGCTGTTACCTAAATGCACCGGGGGGTCTACCCAAGACTCAGGTAAGCAGACAGTCATTAGAAACCCATGGGCACTCTACATGTGCTCGGTCCAGAGCCAGTCAATTGTGTGGGTGGAGACAGGTGGAGGATGGCAGTCCCCGCCCTTGGCCAGGGCTCCAGGATAGCAAGATCATGGCTCCAGAGTCAGAGCAGGAAGACAGGACCCAGCGGTCATCTGGTGGACCATCTCTTTGGCTGAAGGGGAAACAGAGGCCCAGGGCAGAGTGTTGTGGCAGAGCAAGGACGAGAGCCAAGATCCTCATGCGACATCTCTTCCCCTGGTCATCCCATTGTCACATGGGTCCAAGGTTGACAACTGTCCCCTGGGCATGCCTGCAGTCCACAGGGCTCATTCTCTGCCCCTGACCAAGCCTCCTGAGATCCTGCCCTGACCCAGCCACTCAGAGGATGGAGCCATGGGTTGGTGTCCAGACGAGTATCCTCCTCCAGCTCCAGCCTGTCTGGGAGGCAGCCCTACTGGACAGGGGCCTGGAGACGAGCATCCCCAAGGGGCTGGGAAAAGGGGACCATCCTATCTTGGGGTGAATGAGAGGGTCAAGGAGGTGCACACCTCTGGACTGCCATCCGGATTCCCAAGGAGGGCTCTGGAAGCTGAAGAACTGAGCCTGGGTGTTAACCTAACACATCCCTTCCCGTCCACCCCTGAGCTCCCCAGCTATTGGGGTGTTGTAGATGAAGTGGGCAGCAGACTTGATGGTATTGGCTGAGCTGCTGGCCCGTGGTGGGGTGGGTGGAGTTGGGCCTGGTACATGGGCATCCAGGCTGAGTGAGTCCTTTGCAGTAAAGGGTAAAGCCAGCAGGTTTGGAGGGTTCCAATCCTGTGCCCTGTAAAGCAGTGACTGGCCCTTGACCAGCTCCTCGGAGATGACCTTTATGCTCTGGGAAATGCTGCTGGATAACCACGTCTTTGTTGTCGTGGAACCTCAGGCCACAGCGGATCATTCATGGTGTCAATGTGACATGTGGTGGGGACCTTACAGCTCCCTGTATGACTTTGGCCTCTGGAAGGGCTGGAGACTGAGTTACTCCTGTCAGCTACACAGGCGCTCCACGCCTGTGACACCAACTCCAATAAAATCTCTGGATGCCAAGGCTGTGCTTCCCTGACTGACAATATTCTGTGCTTGTGTCACTCATTGTTGCTGGGGAATTAAGCACTGTCCCTATATCTCCCTTGGAAGAGGACACTGGAACCCTGAGCCAGGCTCTCCCATGTGTCTGTCTGTGTATCCTCTGTGTCTTTTACCCTTGCTGATTTAATCTGTATCTTTTCACTGTAAGACCCCATAGCTGCTACAGATGGAAAACCCGTGTCTCCCCTAAATTCATAGGGTGAAACCTAATCCCCAGTTTGATGGTATTGGTTAGGGGAGCCTCTGAGAGCTAATTCGATCATGAAGATGCAGCCCTCATGAATGGGATTGGTGTACCTATGAAAGAGAACCCAGAGAGATCCCTTGACCCTTCCACTAGGTGAGGACACAGTGAAAAGGTGACCATCTATGATCAAGAAAGCGGGCCCTCAGCAGACCCCAACTCTGCCAGCGCCGTGATCTTGGACTTGCTGGACTCCAGAGCTGTGAGGAATAGATGTTTCCTGTTTATAACCCACTCATCCTAAGGCATTTTGTTCTAGCGTCCCAAACTGAGTAGACAGTACCCATGAACATAACAGCATTTCTGAAACCTGTGAGCCCTCCAGCAAATGAAAGAGCCGAGCATGGTCTTGGGGACCGCTGACACAGATGGCTACCAAAGTGGCATTCAGCAGAATAACCCCGACCCACGGAAACGTGGAGAATGCATAGTCTGGGAAAAGGAAGAATGGGGGGTTTTGGTTGACGAACCTTCAATCCTAAGTGGCTACAGCATCACTTGGGGTGCGAAGCAGCAGCTGCGCTGTGGTCAGTTACTGGGGGTAAAAGTCACCCATGGGATTTGGAAATGATAGAGCTCACTTCTGAGGGACTGGCTCACTGGATATGTGAAGGTAAAAAAAAAAAAAAAAAAAAAAAAAACCAGGAAAAAGACTAGGCTAATATGCAATCCTGTGGTTATTGCTCTATGTAATTACCTAAAATAAAACAAAGGAGAGGGTGGGGCTAGCTGCTGACACGGCACCAAGCTGGGGATTTTGCCTGGTCCGAGTTATGGTCACCTGTGTCAGGGATGCTCCCAAAGGGAAGAATTAAGCTGGGACAACAGAAGCCACCTCCATGACCTCTGGCCACCAAGAATGCAGTCCAAGTGGGGGTAGGGGAAC